TAATCTACGCTACCTTTTCGACGTTGAAGCTGCTGTTGCTCTGACTTTCTTTACAAGCTGGCAATAGGAGTCGGGACCTCTCGCGGTCGATCTGAATAATACGACAGCAGCCTTAACAGTGAGTAGTCAGCGTACAGCAAGCAACTTTTGTTACAGCTTAGAACTTAAATGATTTGCTGATATTTAAAAAATTTCTTTAGCACAGTTTTTAAATACATTTTACAAGAAGTAACGGCAACGTACTGTAAAGTATCATTGATATCATAACATCCGATGCCAATTTTCGTGTATGTTATTTCTCATTATCCAGAACAGCTAGATTTTAACAACCTAAAAACAGATTTTTTCCGTTTTTTTCTCAGAATAGCAAATGAAAACATAAAATTGTACTGATTATTGTATTGGTTATTTGAATAAAAATAGTTCTATTCCTGTAACTTTAACGTTGCGTAAATCAGCTGAATAATTTTGTTCTGAATAATAGTGATTTACCTTCAGTACAATGACAGTGAATGATGACAAAAATGATATAAACTTCTTATTTAGTGATGTTTTATAAAATGCTTATGAGAACAAATAAGAAGCCAAACGCCAAAGGTATAACAATCAATTGTCAATACTTTTCTGCTTCTTATTAATCGTATTTTTTTAATTAATAATGCAATTACTAAAAAATTCAATATAAATAGTTCTGTTTTTGAGGTATTTTTAGATGATCGCATAACTTTACAAATTTTGCAACTGTAACAGCCTAAAATACTTGAAATATAACTGTATAAAAACAGTACAACTCACCTAACTGATTAATGACTCTTAAAAAAATATTCGAATGCAGAGCTGTATGACAATATCATTTTTTTGTTGTTCATCAACTGGAGACAAACTAATGCACTGTATAAATGTTGTTCTGGTAGTTCAAAAAATTATCAAAAAATGGTTTTATTTCCCCGAGAATTACTAATACATTCAAACAGCGACCTTCTGATAGCAGAAAAGGCAACATTTAGTTATAAGTCTAACTTTGTGAAGCTGTAAGCATTATTTTGACAAAACAGATGAAAAGCCAAAATTCTTCGTCATTAGACATTTGTACCATCCCACTTTTGGCTATTTTTTACAGGCTTAGTTTGATTACATAAAAGTTGAGTAGATTTTCGCTTATAAATTAAGCGCTATTTTTTACTTGCTATTCGCAAATAAGATTAATTGTAACTTGATTACCACTTTAACATTAGGCTTCTCTGTATTACTGGTTTCCAAAAGTTTTGACAAGAAAATTAGGCTATTTCTATATTACACATTTCAATTCCGATAAATTACATGCACTGCAAGAATGTGTCGTATAAAAAATACTTTTTTTCAAAACATAGATATGGCAAACTTGAAAAAGTTTATTACTTAACGGTGACTTATTGGAACATCGCTAAACAAATACCAACCACAGATTTTTTGCACCTTTTTTCTGCCTCTTCAACTTTCACAACACGAATTTAGACACAGGTTTTCTCATCAGTTTTTTCATAACTTACATTACTTTGCAATCGAAAACCTTCAACAAAAATTGTTTTATTTCTTCAAAATTTAAATTCAGCAACGTTGTAAAATAATAAAAATTCTGAGTAATTCTTTGGTTGATTTGGATATAAAACATAAAAAGTTCTTATTTTTAGCTGCAAAGTTTTTTTTCTTTTATAGACTAAGAACTTTTGGCCTACTTTGCTGTACATCTTTTTCAAGGCAAATAAGCATCATTTGAGGCAGTTAAAAATTCTGCAGAATTGGTTAACAGATTTTTTTTCCAAGTAATATTTTCAAAAACCTATTTTCACATATCTGTTGACAATGCTTACCAATCTTGTCAATGCAAAAAATGGTTATAAAACCATATAAAAGTTGATCTTTAATCTTTTACCAGTTGTCAAGAAGAAATAGTTCTTCAAAAAACAAGTAACAGTTGGACCGTTTCAGAAATAAAATTTTGCTTCATTTGCAGTCTAAAATTCAGTCACAGTGGCTAAAATTTGGTAAAACCGATGTTACTGAAGCAGTTATCGCAGAAAATGCTCAACATTACCTTCAGTTATCTTCAATTCAATTACTTTTGATCTTAAACAAACTAGATAAGTTATATAAATCAACCTTAAACAGCTTTTTTAAAACTGAAAGTTTTGAGAGCAATTTTATCTTACGCCGACTTTTATCGCTAAAATTCTAGCAGGATCTTCTATTTTGAGAAATGTTGCTCGAATACAAATTATTGAAAGCATAAGAGAACGGTCAGTTACTGGGAACAAAATTTTGAAGGCTACAAAACTCTGTCTTTATACTCAACTTCTTTTTTGATGTAAAAATTGAACAAGTTTTGAACGTAATTTAAAAAAAGAAGAATTTCTGTTTTTAATTGTTCAACAAATTTTTATCGACAATATAAGCCTAACATATATCAGCAGCATCGTTTAATCACGGCAAACCTGAGTATAAAAAGTTGTATAGAAAAAACATTATTTTTCAAAAATAAAATATCAATGAGAACACGAAGAGGATTAAAAAAAAACAAATTGACATAAATAACAGAAAAAAGAAAAAATTAAGAAGAAGCGGAAAAAGTAAAAATATATATATTTTTTTAAACTTTTAAAATTTGCTTGTTTCGTTTATGAGTTTGGAGGAAAAAAGTGAATTGAAAACAGATGGAAATAGACAGAAGGATGACAAAGAAGAAAAAAGGAGAAGGAGCAAAAAAAAAAAAGAGGTAAAAAAATTGGGAACTAAAAGTAACAGATGAAAATTTTGAAACTACTTGTTAGCTGTTGAATGTCTTTCTATCACTGTGAAGTGTTGCTTGGACTTCTTCTTTTTTTGGCATCTGACTAGGAAGAACAGAAGATTGTTGAAAAAGAGAAGAAGTTGAAAAAAAGGAAAAAAAGTGGATAGATGATGGATAATTATCGTTAAATTACAGTTCTTCGTATTGTTGCTGATTTTTGCTGAACGGTGGTAGCAATGAGGTGCAGGATAGGGGAAAAAAAAGGAGGAAAAAACAGGAGAGGATATTGATGAACAAAAGCTGGTATAGGTATGGAACAGTAAAAACTTGTTTTTTTTTTTTTTTGAAGATATCAAACTGAATGTTCAGAGTGTAGGCGATAACTCAGAAGAAAATACCTTTCTTTATTTCTTTTTTTTTTCTCAACAGTATCTAACAGTATATGCATAAGAAAAAAACGTCTATATATCACCAATTGTTTATCTGAAAAAGGTGTAGTTTTTACACCGTTGTTGCTGATATTTTTTTCTACCCGGTCAGAAGAGGTTGCTTAGACTGAAAAGTGTGCTTATCAGCGCTATATATCTGGTTTTTTTTCTCAACTTCAATCTTTTTTCTCCAATCTTTTGCACTATGAAATCAAAGCGGAACGAAACAAAAAACACCAACTAGATACGGTAATAAAAGAAAAATTTGTTTTAGCAACTTTGAAGAAAAAAAAAATTGTTGATACTTTTTTTCTTTTAGACGTTATTTAATTCACTTAGAATGGTAGCATGTTTCCCTTTTTTTTTTACCCGTTTCCTCTTCAGTCTTCTCAATCAGCTCAATTTTTTTTCTTCTTTTGGAATTAAGATAAATTTTTGTTTGAAACGTTGTTTTCTTTCTCCGTTTTTTTTTTTTCATTATTGTTATTTGGCGGCGTTCGGTTTTATTTATTGTATAGGAATGAACAAAATTGAACTTATTTGAGCAAATGACGCTTTTTGGTCATGGTACATCAGCAAATCTATTCCAACTGTAGCTGGTCCAAAACCTGGAACTAATTCCTTTATTTTCTTTATTTTACTTCGTTGTCACCAAAAATTTATTAATGATTTTCTGTCTTTTTTTTTTTCGTCTTTTTTAATTGCTATTAATTAGCAC